AATGTGCAGTCGCAAATAATCTCGTACCCAGATCTCCCACGGCCAAGGTGTAAAACAGAGTGAGATCTGGGTACGAGATTAGTCGCAAGACTGTTAAGCTAATTTAAAAGTTATCAGCAAGGGAGGAATTACGCACTCCAGTACAAAGACTCGCATTAACCTTAGCCTGTGAGCAAGCTCTCCTATTTGGTCGAGCGAAGCGAGCCGCGCGAGAACGCGCGAGCGAGCGTCGAAGCCGCGAGGGGCCGCGTCTCCTCCTGCGTGCCTCTCGCCCGTGTACTTTTCACGATATCCCCAAATGGAGAGCTTGCTCGCAGGCTACATTATCCTCAGAAGAACAAGCTGGAGTTTGGAATTTACTGCTTTTAGAGCAATCGAAATTCTCCATAATTTATGTGGCTACAGTTTAAGCTACAATCCGCTTGAGATTGGATCTGTGAATCACTATCTGTGAGAATAAATCATCCTGCTAAAAACGCTAACGAGCTGGGCCCAGCATGACAAAACATTGCAGGAAAAAGTGAGATTCACGGACAAAAAGAAAATGGCTTAGAATTATTCAGATCCAGGAGGCACTTTGGAGAAAGTACACAACCTAACACCCTTAATCAGCCGCAATGAAGTGCGTTACATTTCAAAAGAGGAAGAAAATCAATACACATGTCACGACCTCTCAGTATGAAATAAGCGGCAAAAATTCAGATTTGCTCAGTCAAAACGTTTTTCTCCAAAGCATAATCAACCCGTCAGCGAAAACAATTTATTGGAACAAGCAACATTTTGGCGTGAGGTAAAAGTCGTGTCTTGCCTAACCCCCCTTCTTTACACCATGAAGCACAATTAATTATTACTGATCAATTGAGCATTGTTTGTTGTTGTTGTTGTTGTTATTTTTAATCTTATTTTTGCACTATTTCTGTTTTTGTTAATTTCTCATCATTTAAAAAAAAGTGTCCATGGACCCGGTCCATGACAGGGGGTCCATGGACCTGGTCCATGAAAGTGGTCCATGGACCCGGTCCAAAGTAGGGGTCCATGGACCCCTGGTCCATGTTTTGTCCTCACCCTGTTCAAATGCCATTGGGTGGAGAGCATTTGAAACGGAAAATAGTGAAGTTACG